CTCCTGCCTCAGCCTCCTGAGTAGCTGAAACCATAGGAACATACCATCATACCTGACCAATTTCTTATTTTTTCAATTTCTTACACAGACAGTGTCTTGCTATGTTGTCCAGGCTAGTCTTAAATGCTTGGCCTCAAGTGATCGTCTCACCTCAGCCTCTCAAAGTGCTAGGATTACAGGCATGTGCCACCATGTCCAGCTACCTTTTAAATTTTTTTTTTTTTTCCAGAGACCGGGTCTCCCTGTGTTCCAGGCTGGTCTCAAACTCCTGGCCTCAAGTGATTGAATATTCTTTTCTGAGAATTTTCTAGGGGAAGAGAAAACCTGGAAGATTGAGGAGAAGTCAGAAGAGCTGCAGATGGAAATCCTACAGAAGCCAGCATCAGCCAGGCTACAGGGAGGGCAAGCGGGGCCCGTCCCAGGGCAGTGCTGCTCCTTGCTGTGGGGAGGGCTGCTGCCTGCGTCTGGTGGTATTGCTGCCTCTTCTGATTTTTCAAGAGAAGCTGGAAGGCAGAATTTTAGTGTGAAATCTCCTAATTTTTAAGTACTGGTAACTATTTTGGAATTTTTGTAAACACCATATAGGTAGTGAAGTGCATCTGTGGGCTGTGCTTGATTGGGGTCCTACCACTGTCTACCTCTGCTGAATGCTTGTTCAAAGAGACGACTCTTTGTTTTGCCTACGGCGAAAACAATCCAAGCAACTCAACCCCAGCCCGTTGCCCTTGCCAAACCCACGTAGGCTCGTCAGGGCAGTGCCTTCTGCATTCCTGACCGACAGATGTGGGTGCTAACATGGAGACCAGTTGTTATGTGCAGCAGGGAGGCTGGGCTCCCTGGAGTAAGGGCTGGAGATGGTGACAGTGTCTCTCCAGGAATGTGATCAATGCTGACAGCCTGGAGCAACTTTAGAAGTCACAGATGCCTGAGACAATGGCATGGCGGGCAAAAGCGCACTCAAGGAAGGCCGGAGAAGGACAAGGAGAAGGCGGCTAAGGAGGCCAGGCTGTGTCTCAATGGATCTGGTAGCTGTCACGCCTGTAGCATGTTTACTTCAATAGCCACAGATGTGTCCCCAGCCCATGCAGCCAGGTCACCTCATCCTTTTCGCAGCATGTCCTTTCAATTCATAGAAACCCTGAGTAAGAAACAATCCCATAAAAGCATGCAAGCTGACTGAATTGGGATCTCCAGTCTCTCGCCTGCTAGCTGTGACCTTGGGCAAGTTTGTCAACGTGCACACAGGTCCCTTTACAGTTGCTAGCTTGAATCTCTGTGTGAAATGGAGATCTGCCACACGGGGGTAATACCCAGCAGGGCACATGGAAAGGGGAGAGTGGAAGGGGCCTGACAAGGTCACAGGTGTACACAGTGCCTGGTATGGAGTGGCCATGCAGTACACTGTGGCATTGGACAGAAATATCTTAGTAGGAGTATACGGGGGAGTAACCATTCCGCTTTCCAAAACGATGGCTGTGTTTCAGAAAGGGGGAGAAAGATGTGGCCTATGGTCACACGCTGTTCCTCCAGTGGGAGCCATCTGAGGCCCACCCTCACCCAAGGCAACTGTCATAGGTGTGGGAGGAGCAGGCGCACCTGGGCTTCCTTCTTCAGCTTTGTCATGTTTAAAAACATCTGTGCGATCTCCCGGTCGAACACTCTTACTCGGTCCCAGTCCAAAAGGAGAGATCTATCTTTGTCAGTGTTAACCTGCAGGAAAAAGGATAAAGGGTGAACACACAAGAAAAAGTCTCCAGGTGAGCCCAATGCCAGGAAGAACCAGGACAGACGAAGCTGGTCTTTGTCTGGGAGCAAAATAGCCCTGGCTCTAATGGCTCACAGCTATACCTGTTGGGGTGGGCAGATATGCAAGCTGACATCCCGTCCTCTCCACCCCAGCCCCGAAACCAGGCAGCCAGTCTCAGGATGGCGGCCCGAAGCTGAGGCCGATGTGTCCTTAAGAAGCACCTGAGCCCCTTCCTCTCACACCACCCCTGCCTATCCCCAGTGCCTGGCCAATGTTAGGTATGGCCACCATGGCTTGGGAGCCCACCAAGCCTCGTGGGCTTGGGGGCTCCCAAGCCTGTTAGCCAGAGCAGCTCCAAGACAGGGTCTTGCTATGTAGCTCGGGCTGGAGTGCGGTGACATGATCATAGCTCACTGTCCTTGGACTCCTGTCCTCAAGCAATCCTCTTGCCTCAGCCTCCCAGGCTGCTGGGATTAGACATGAGTGACTGGCCTCGCTGTATTAAGTCTTACCGTGAGCTTTTGTGAAGGCTTTTAGTTGAAGAAAGGGTTCTAGGAATTTTAAAAAGTTTGAAAGCCAATGGCCTCAGTCCAGTGCTTGCACCTGACCACTGCAGCCACTGCTTCCTGTGGGGTAACCTCAACCTACACTGCCAGAGTTGAACTCGTTCCCACTTACTCGTTCCCAATTCAGCACATACAGGCCCAATCTCTTCCCACTGCCCTCATGAAGGCTGGGGTACCTCAGCCCTGGGCACCACAGACCACTTCCAGGAACAGCCACCCACACTTCTGCCCTCAGCCTGGGGCCTGCAGGCTGCTGATGATGGAAGACTCTCAGAATCCATGCCCCAATCCCAGAAAGCCCCAGCATGAATGGAGAAAGGCTAGGAACCTTGGCCTGCAGCACCCAGTAGGTCTCTGGTTTGAAGGACTGGATTTTATCATGTCTCTCCACGCAGAATCCCAGGGTTGGAGTCTGACACGGCCCAAAGGAGATGAGAGAGCTGTCTAAATCACCGTATTTCCCCTGGAAATATTTAGTTTGAAACCTGGAGGGAGTGATAGGGTACGGGGAGGGGAGAGAAAGATATTTCTGTCACCGATTCACTAAAGACGCTATTATGGCCACTCACGTGAGTCCAGCCCAAGGCCAGGGGTGGTTCGTGAACGAGGTGGCACCAGGTGGTATCCCCGGTTAGAACCCAGTGAGAGCAGAGTGGGCACAGCCTTAGGGAGGATTCGTGTACGTACATGGGTGGCAGAGCTAGTGAGAGAGTAGAGAGAGGTTTCTACTGTCTCGGGCCAGGAAGCCTTCTATTCTATTCCATCTACTGCACACTCTCCTCACGACTCCCACAGAATGGACAAACACACTTTATCAAGCAGGGCCTATGTGATCTCTGTCAGCTAAACAAACAATTTTCTTCAGGTCTTTTTTGTTTTTGTAGCGATAGGGTCTTGCTGTGTTGCCTAGCAGGAGTGCATTGATGGGAATCATAGCGCATTACAGCCTTCAACTCTTGGGCTCAAGTGATCCTCCCACTTCAGCCTCCCAAATAACTGGGACTACAGGCTCACACCACCACATCCATCTAATTAAAAACAAATTTGGATGAGCACAGTATCTCACACCTATAACCCCAGCATTTTGGGAGGCTGAGGCGGGCAGATCACCTGAGGTCTGGAGTTCGAGAGCACCCTGGCCAACATGGTGAAACCCCATCTCTACTACACGTACAAAAGTTATCTGGGAGTGGTGGCGCAAATCTGTAATCCCAGCTAGTTGGGAGGCTGAGGCATGAGAATCACTGGAACCCAGGAGGCAGAGTTTGCAGTGAGGTGAGATCGTGCCACGGCACTCCAGCTTGGGTGACAGACAGAGTGAGTCTCAAAAATTTATTTATTTTTTTAGGTTGGGTGCAGTGGCTCACATCTGGAATCCCAGCACTTTGGGAGGCAGAGGTGGGCGGATCGCTTGAGCTCAGGACTTTTGAGACCAGGCTGGGCAATAGAGTGAAACCCTGTCTCTACAAAATATACAAAAATTAGCCAGGCACAGTGGTGCACACCTGTAGCACTTGTAGTGGGAGGCTCAGGTAGGAGGATCACTTGAGCCCAGGAGGCAGAGGTTACAGTGAACGGAGATTGCACCACTGCACTCTAGCCTAGGCAACAGAGTAAGACTCTGTCTCAAAAAAATATATATATATATATATATATTTTTGTAGAGATAGGGTTTTGTTATGCTGCCCAGACTGGTCTCAAACTGCCAACCTCCAGCAATCCTCCCATCTTGGCCTCCCAAAGTACAGGGATTATAGGTGTGAGCCACTGTGCCCAGCCTTCTTCAGGGTTGGTGAAATCCCTTGTTGCTCATCCTGGCTCCGGGAGGCCTTGGGGCCCCTGAGAGGGACCAGTAGAAGCAGGGCTCTTGCTGAGGGGGAGTAAGGGTGTGCCCAGGACTAAGCGGGTGTGGACAGCACCTGGTGAATGCACAGCCGATGCGCAGGTCCAGCTCCTGGCGAGCATCCACTGAGAGCGCCTCGTTGTGGTCGGGCTCACCCAGGCAGGCCATGGCATTACAGATGTCTGTGTCCGTGATGGAACTAAACCTGGCCCGGAACACGGTCTTCTCGCCGCCATGAGCCTTGTTCATGACGGGCAGAACAGCATCAAGAACCTGGGGGTAGGGAGTGGCCAGCGGTGACCCACCTCCCAGATCCCTGCCATGGCTCCCCACCCCACTGTGAAACTTGGCTCCTTCCAGGGAAGAGCACGTGTGCTCAGCCCCCTCTCCTGCCCCTGCTGCACCCTCTGTATCCCCTTGGCTTTCCAGAAGCCCTGGGTTCTCCACAACACCCCACCACGTGGCTTCCTTTCCTTCCATCTCAAAACATTGAAACATTCCCTTCTCACTCCCACCCTCTCTCTGCTTTCATCCCCACCAAATCAGGAAATGCTACTGCCAAGTACATGAGGGACCTCTTAGTCCCGAGATCCATCTCACGTGACCCAATTCCCTGCCTTCTAGAAGGAGGGAAGGCTTGGAAGGGTGGCTGGAAATTTTAAAAGACTGGAGAAAAGACAGGGAAGGAAAAAAGAATGAAGGGAAAAGGAAATAGGCAAGAGCAGGAAGGTCACAGGTGGTCCCAGCTTGTGATGGGGGCAGCTCAGTCTAAAGCACAGCAGGGGTCCTGGAGCCAAGACTCACTAGGAAGGCCATGCAGTGGGACTAGGGTCACCGCCGGAGCCTGGCCACGCAGCTTCCTTACGGGGAATAAGTGGCTTCATTTCTGAAGGGAGAAAGCCCCATGAGCTGCCCCCATTCTCCACTCCTAGATGCAAAGGCCCCCAGGGAGGAGCCACCCTGCAGGGGAGGAGAGGGTATCTGAGAAGGGACAAGAGTATGATCGCATTTGCTGAGATTACTGTACTGTAACACCAGGTGCCTGAGTTCCCTGTCTCACTGGAACCAGCTCTTCAGCCTCGGGTGAGAGCTGGGGGTGCAGGAGCACAGGGGCGACCCACAGAGATCAACAGCCTGAAGGGCACCAAGTGAGACCAGCAGTCACGACCACTGTGAGGGCACCATGGCCAAGGCAAGCATGGGGCCTGCGGTGTGCACAGGGAGCTGCCACCTGCTTCTCTGCAGGGCTCCCAGAGGTGGCTGGAGGTGGGAGGCACCCTGGGTAGGGCAGGAGATGAGCAGAGTGAGGCCTGCAAAAGCAGCTCAGTGTTGAGGTTGGGAATCAACCAGCATCAAGCCAAGGTCCCTGAGACCTTGGGCTGGGCACAGCATGCTGAAAATCAAGCTGACCTAAGACAGCCCCATTCTGAAACCTGCATCTACCCAGACAATTCTGCCCCTCCTGTGTTCACTGATACAGTGCATTCCCAGCAGCGGAGGAACACTTGAGCACCCTTAGAAGAGCCTATGCAGTTAAACGTATCTATTAAGTTTCAAAATAAAGGGAAGGGGGAGGTGATTTTAAACCAGCAGGGTATTCCCTCTTTTGGCCCCAGGAATGATGTGACTGCTGGTGTCAGTTTGGGGATGGTGTCAGAAAGACCGTAAGTGAGGACCAAACAGAGCTTCACACTCACCTCAAAGCAGATGTTCTCCCCCTCCTTGTCGCAGTCCAGCCACAGCACGATATAGTCGCAGCCTCTGCCCTCCACCTGCCACACAGCACACGTTCACATGCACCCACTGCAGCCCGGCTCGTGCCGCCTGCCCCCAGTGCTCCCATCTAGCACAGGGCTTGGGCCCAGGCCCTGAACCTCAGCTAGGAGAACTGGTACCGGGGCTGGACAAGGAGCTGGCTGTGGTGAGGCTGGCTCAGGTAACAGAGAACAATTAAGTTTATAACTGCTGTTTATGGATCCCCCCCAACCAAAAAAAAAAAAATCTATATATATATATATAGATATAAATTCAACATGATCTTAAACCTCAAAACTGCCCAGAAAAAGACTTAAAATGAAATAACCCTAACTGATAAAAGCAGTTGTCTTGGGTAGTATGATTATAAATAATTTTTTTGTCTTTCTACTTATCTGTACTTTCTAATTTGCCACAACCGTATGCATTTGTTTGAAAATTAAGGGGGAGGGCCGGGCGCGGTGGCTCAAGCCTGTAATCCCAGCACTTTGGGAGGCCGAGGCGGGTGGATCACGAGGTCAAGAGATCGAGACCATCCTGGTCAACATGG